TACACCATCTTTCACAGAACACCAACACAGGATGACAGGATACACCATCTTTCATAGAATACTGACACAGGATGACAGGATACACCATCTTTCATAGCACACCATTTTTACTGGAAAGAATAGTTGATACATGAAATACAACTAATAAGACTTGTAGACTTTTTTTTGAAAATGTACAAGTGAATAAATATGTTGTCAATGATAAAATCCACCTGTGGGTGGGTGAAAATTAGATTTTTACAATACTTTTACCCACTACAATAAGCTTGACAATACTTGAAGACCTTCTTGATGAAATCAGTGGCATTATTAACAAATGTGATTTTTATGACACTATATAATGAAATACATTAACATTTTGGAAGATCCGTATAACTTAGTAAGCCAGTATTTTCCAAGTAACCAATACAAGTTGCAAAATCATGCAGATCTATTCAAAGTACAAGAGGCAACAATGAAATTTAATGAAATAAACTCATTGATTTTATTTTTGATTCCATGTATATCTAACCTATAAGAAATTACCATTTGTCCAGTTTAGGCATAGTATGAAAGAAGAATATCCACAATTTCCTGAAGAAGCTCTTAAAATACCTTTTTTTTAAAACTTATCTGTGTGGTCTTATTTTTCTCATGTACTTCAAACAACAGAATATATCACAAAAGACTGAATGCAAAGTAGAGGTATATTCTAAGCTAGACTCATTAAATTTGCAAAAACAATTCTAGTCTTCTCATTTAAGTTTTGCAAAATACATTTTTCATGAAAATATTATTTAATATATAATAGATTTTCCCAAATATTCTTGGAATATAATTTCTAATGTGGCAAATACTGATAGATATAACTCATATAAACAAAGTTATCTTGGGTTATCATTAATTCTTAAAAATGGTCTTCAAACCAAAAAGTTTGAGAATCATTATCATATATTAAACATGTGAGCAAAACGTCTTGACTGCATGTCCTTTAATTGTCAAAATTCTGCTTTCCAAACACAATTAGGAGGAAAAAAATGGGTAGGTAACCAGAGTTAATAATTTAGGGATCCATAGCAACTTCCAACAGCCCAAAACATTTATGATTTTGAACATAAGAACATATGCAGCTTTGGCTGCCTAAAACTTCATTCTTTGAAGAAAGAGTTTGTGTTTGGTATTTTTATGTAAGTACAATATATGGAGAACTGAAAAATATGAGCCGGCTCGGCGTCCCTGGCACAGTGGTTATGGTGCCAGCCACACACTCCCAGGCTGGCGGGTTGGATCCCAGCCCAGGCCCACTAAACAACAGTAACAACTGGAAACAAGTAAGAAGAGCTGGCACTGTGGTGGGTGCCTGTAGTCCCAGCTACTTGGGAGGCTGAGGCAAAAGAATCATTTAAGCCCAAGAATTTGAAGTTGCTGTGAGCTGTGATGCCATGGTACTCTACCGAGTGCAACACAGTGGGATTCTATCTCAAAAAATGAAAAATATGAGCCATCTAAATAGATAAACCCCAGATGCCAACTTTATGTAACAGTTCAGATTCAAAAGAGGAGACCAGCTTTAGCTGTCTCTTCCTTTCCTGTTTGGGTAACCCTTAAACAACACAGTTGGGACTGCAGTGCCCATGCGTGGATTTTTTCCAACCAAATGCAGGATGTGACACTTGTGTGTACAGAGGAGCGCCTTGTCCATAGGCAGGTTCCACAGGACAGACAGGACTTCAGTGTGTGCAGACTTGGGGATACACATGGAGAGACTGCCTGCATATACCAAGGGACAGCTGCACACAGCAGCCAGGAAGCTGGGTAACTACCGGACACTGAAGGGTAACTGGACAGAGCATCTGAGCAAACAGCTTTCAGAGAAGTCCTTCAGCTAATGGAGGAAAATGTTCAGAAACCAGGCTTCCAGCAGGGAGGCCTCTGCCTCCCTCCCTCTGCACGATACTCCAAACTGCTCCTCCTCAACTCAACTTTTACCACACACATTGCTCACTGACACCAGACATGTGCTGCCTTACTCCTCCTTCCTGGGAAATTACTCCTGCTCTCCTAAACTCTGATTATAAGTGACATATATGAACAAAACATGAGGAACCAAGGCCAACAAGGCCACTGTTCTCAAGTTTATGAATCCAAATTTGGGGTTAGCAGAAGCAGAGCTGAAAACCACATGAATGATTAATTAAATGTTCCACGAATCCAAAGTACGTTGAAGCTATCTTTTAAGAGGGACATAATAACCCCGTATCTCTACGGTATGATGATTTGGGGCACCACACTTGAAGAAAGTCACAAGCAAAGACCAGGGGACAACTGGGCTGTGAAGGGATCAGAAGGAGACAAGAAAGGAGGAGGGTCAGTTTGAAGAAGACTGTAGTGACGTGGCAGTCAGCTACTTCCAAATATCTGAAGAGCTTTCAGATTCAGATAAAGAGCTTATTTGTTCTTCATGTGCCAAAGAGGAACAATCCCAGGAAGCTGCTCACTTCTGGAGGTGCTAATGAAGAAACCTCAGAATTATTTGCTAGGGGCATTCCAGTAACAGTGAGTGTTTGGATTATGAGGTCCCTCCAATCCTGAAATCTGACACCATCAAAATAAATTTTGAACCATGTAGAGGGCTCAAAAATTTAACATTTCTACAAAGCTGTCCATAACTCTTACCTTACATATTGTCATTTTAGTTTTAGTACCTTAAGAAGCATAATAGGAAAAAAAAAAAAGCTAGTTTTACTCCCAACTTCAACCTATACTTGTATTTTTACTCCAGGCCTGATTTTTTTAGGTATTGATTCTTTGTAAGCAATGCTTTTTTATATAGCTATTTTTAAATTAAGGATAATAATTAAGCCATTCTTGTCTTTTCATACGTCCACAGGAAAAGCTAGAAGTGCCTTGTAATTCCATAACCATCATATAATCTTGAAATGTAATCTGGAGGTAGAAATACTCATGGACATCATTGAATGTTACCTGGTACTTCCTGGCAGAGATCACTGCCTGAAAGCTAGCTAACGCCGGCTGCAGACTACACAGTCATGGTAGGGTACTCTAATGCTTCCAAACAAAAGGTTCTCATGAGAAATTTACTTCTTTAGATAAATGATCAAGTTTAGAAGAATATCTTAAGAAAAAAAGCATTTTCACATCCCCTGCACGAAAATTAAAGAGTCAAGGTTCTTTACTCACTAGTTGAAATCGATGTCCAAAACTCAGCCATTCCTTCTCCACAAGGACTTCAAACCCTCGGATGGTTCGATAGTACCCGTCCAGCATGAGCATGGCGAGGGAGGTGAGCTGGGCCGTGCGGTCCCAGCCGTCACTGCAGTGCACGACCACTGAGGTCTTCCCCGACTCGACTCTGTCGGCGATCCTAAGGGCCCCTGCAAGAATAAGCTGGAAAACAGATTTTTTCTAATGAAATTTTTTTTTTCTGAATTCTCCTTCTTCAAAATTTATTAATACAGTTTTCTTAGAGATGGCTATTTCAGTAACAGGAGGAGAAAAGACATTTGTTCCTAAAAATTTTTGTAAAAGGTAGAAGATATACAAATTTTGCTTTCAAAACCTGATAAATCTCATAAATGCTGACTCCTATTAATTGACACAATGAAATATCCAAATGAAATGTGCTTTAAGGTGCTAAACAAAGCAACAGTATAAGATTTCTGTTAGAAGAATTAAGCTCTAAAGAGATCTGTTTCTACGAATTATCAAATATTCCATCTTCTATTTAAATAAAAATAATTGAAAAGGTAGCTAAAGCCTTATCTTTATATTATTTAAAACGATGCTTATTTAACCAAATTAGAATAAGTATCTGAAAGCGATAAAACTGGATCTCTCTAAAATAGTTGGTAGCATTTATTTTATTGTTTCGATTGAAGATCTGTAGAGGTCATCATACACACAGCAAGCACAATATAAACTCTAACAGTATACATGAAAATTCTCATTAGATTAATATATTAGCATGTTAATTCAATTGATATCTAATATAACTTTAGTTTTTTTTTAATATACAGAAAACTTTTATGAACTTACCTTTTCTGAATTTGATTTTGAATTAAAACTAAACAGAAATAGATATAACAAAAAAAGAAACACAAAAGTATTACCTTTAAAAACAGACAATAAAGCTCCCTTCTTTGTAATGGCCATATTACAGTATTATACTTAAACAACAGTATAGTTATACACACATAGTTGAGAGTAAAGAAAATAGATTTTTTAGGCTTAAAAAAGTCTCATGATAACCTCCCTTTGATATTCCAGAAAGGGGTACTCTGAAGCAATCTCAAACTTAACTATGCATTAGAGTCATTTTGTAAGCATTAAAGTACCGAGGCCCCATTCTGCCATTCTCCAATGATCCTAATTTATTCTAAGTAAGTTCCACCCATAATTCAAATGCATATACAGACTTAAGAAGAACTAACCCAAAAGGCTATGGCCAACCAGAAAGATATCCAGAGTTAATGTCCATCCATTTACTAACGAACATGATGGAGTCCCTCACTCAGGCAGACTCCATTCTAGGCGCTGTTTAAGGGGTAGTGGACAGAAGGATGGAATTGCTTAATGAAGTTTACATTCTACTTGGGCAAATGCAGCTAGATTCAAATGATAGACAAGGAAATAAACAGCATGTTCGATGGCAATAAGTGAAACTGCTCCATACAGGGTACAGGGAGTGCTGACATCGTTGTGTATGGAGTGGTTGGGGAGGCCTCTCTGAGAAGGTGAATGGATCAGTGTGGGTGGGTAAACCGTGCGGGTGTGATAAGGGTGAGGAGGAGAAAGTCATCCTGCCAAAGTGTAGGTCTTAACTCTAGGGAAAGCTGCTTTTGTTACAGACAGCATTTTGGAGACAACATTGTTACCTGCTAGTGAAACACTTGGAATTTTCACAAGCAAGCATGGCAGTTATTTTAGTTCCAAATCAAGTCCTACGGCTTTTGCACACTATGCTGTTTAATAAATGGCCACATGAACCTGTTCTCTGAGTAGCATTTACACTTTGCTGTATTCAAGCATCTAAGTTTCTAGAAGACAGTAATAGACATAGTCCATAATTATAATTCTTACTAGTTCAGTTTGGCCTTCTCTTCAATTGTGGCTGAATTTTAGAGATTTTAATATGAGTACAAGTCTTGTCTTTCTTAACAGGAAAGATCATATCTCCATTTACTTTGTAATATTTATGTGTGTGTATATGTAGTTACATAAGTCTGTATATTGGTAGGTTATGTTACTGAAATTCAAACCCTATCTGAAAATGTATGTCACAATATTAACTAAGAGTTCAATGCTTCAAGTATTAAATTATCATGTTAGACAAACTAGCACTGACACAGTACTCTCCAGACGATTCAGCATTCACATAGTATCCTCATTCAACTACTCCACCTAAGTTTCCTAATAAGGATGGTTTTTCCCTCACAAATCATGAAATACGTGTTTTTTGAGTACCTATTCACACAGATAGTACTACCCTAACTCCGGAGACGACAGAAAGGAAATGACTGACCCAGTCCTAGTTTTCATGAGTTAGCAGTGTAGGTGTACAGCGCTTGACACACAAGAACAGTAAACAAAGGACAGAGTAGCACACGATTAAACACCAAGTGAAGAGTTCAGAGAAAATGGGAATGGATGAGATCTGAGAAGGCTTCATGGAAGAAACGTGAACTGGGGTCTGAAGGAGGAAGAGAATCCAGACCGGACAGGGAAGAAGTATAATAGAAGCCAATGTACAGTACAGGAAACTCGTGTATTCAAACATCAAAATCTACAAGTCGTTGTAATTATCAAAGCATTTATCTATTTTTACTGTTCAGGAACCACTTCATATTGATTTCAGTTATAAGAAAAGAGACAATATTGACAAAAGTCTATTAATAGTCTTTGGGCAACAATAACATATACCCACCTTAATATGTTCTAGCCAGTGAGTAGACTCCAAATTAGATAACCAGTGAGTTTCCTCAATGTTGGGGTATACAATCTCCTTAAGTTTTCGCAAGGATTCTCTCATAACATGAATATTGTGGATATCCAGAAACACTAGTTCTGCATTTTGATAAGCGTCTTCACTTTCATAACCTCCTCCCTTTGCCTGGAAAAAGGCACATGTCATGGTAAGTCATAAACGAATACACCTCCATTATATGTGGACGTCCATGGAAAAGCCGTAAAATGCCCGAGAGCATAAAAGACCACATCTATTACTGGTGATTAGGAAAACACCATGGGGATGTGGTTGGCTCAGGGCAATGGGAATATACACTCGACCTTTTTTTTTTTTTTAGACAGAGTCTCACTTTATTACCCTCGTTAGAGTGCTGTGCCGTCACAGCTCACAGCAACTTCCAGCTCTTGGGCTTAGGCAATTCTCTTGCCTCAGCCTCCCGAGTCACTGGGAATACAGGCGCCCGCTACAGCCCCCGGCTATTTTTTTTGTTGCAGTTTGGCCAGGGCTGGGTTCTAACTCGCCACCCTCGGTATATGGGGCCGGCACCCTACTCACTGAGCCACAGGCGCTACCCTTGTTCTGACTTTCTTATGTGACCATTATAAAAATTAAATGTGGGGCAGCGCCCGTGGCTCAAGGAGTAGGGTGCCAGCCCCATATACTGGGGGTGGTGGGTTCAAGCCCAGCCCTGGCCAAAACTGCAAAAAAAAAAAAAAAAAAAGAATTAAATGTGAAACATGTATGCAAGTATTTGAACACTTTAAAGCACTGAATTTTCCCCTACCAGGTTTCAAATTCTACCCAAACATAACTTCTCACAGAAGACTTCCCCTCATATTTATGGGAATCATTAGACTAAGTTTCACGGGCGTGGACTACGTGTCTGGTTCACCCAGTTCACTGTGCTTCCTCACGCTGCCTCTTTACCTGCATTTTAATCTTAATATTGATAAAATAAATTCTTTTCTATCATAATAATTTGCTTCTATTTTAAATTACATAATTATTTTTATTATAAATAAAGAGAACAGAGAATGCTATTGTCATCCCTATCCTCAAAGACTTAAATCTACATCTACAATACTGAATCAGAAAATATTTGGTGTTCAAAATAAGCTGTAACTTGAAAGGAAAACCTAATTTTTCTGGACTTAATCTTTTTTCTCACAGGCGGTACCTGTGGCTCAAGGAGCAGGGCACCAGCCCCATATACCAGAGATAGTGGGTTCAAACCCGGCCCCAACCAAAAATTACCAAAAAAAAAAAAATTTCATGAACAAAATATTCTCTAACCTCCCAGCTAACTCATTTATAAAATCACACTTCTTAGAGCCCTAACATTATAGAAACAAACACTGGAGGAGCAAACATAGTTATGTAGATTTAACTGATCATACGACCTGTATCTCTGAAAACAACAAGACTTACCAACTCACAACCATCAACAGATTACCAAAAGGAGAGAAGTTCAGACTTCCCTCCTGACGTGGAGAATCTGGGAAATATTAGGAGTTTAGAGTCAGACCTGGCAGAGTTACAGAATTCACGGGGTCACAGTGGGTCTCTGCTGACATGGATCAATTCTGAAGAATAGTAACAGTGTCGGCAGCCACACACAGCCCATCACAGAAACACAGAATGAAAACACTCTGAAGTCCAGTAGTGCTGATGGTTGTGCATATTTGTGAATAAACTAAAAGTCAAAATGCACACTTTAAAATAGTATGTTTTATGGTAAATTATACAGTCGTAAAGATTGTTTTTAAAAAGGGCTAAAGAGTAAAACACAACATATATTTAAAACAGAATTAAATGAGAAAGTTTACCATGAAACCCCAAAATGCCAACAGGTGGGGCAAGCCACCAACAGCCACAGTCTCCTTGGCATCGTGAATGGGAGAAAGGAGGAGGGGACAGGCCAGGGACAGACCCGAGAACGGAAGGACACCAAGGCCCTTCAGTTTTTGGTACTTGCTCTGCTTCTGCATTTTGACTCTCTTCCAGAATTACAAGAAAACACACGAGATTAGGAAGTGCAGCTCAAACTGGGAGGGGTTCTGTCCATTCTAACAGGTGATGAGTATACAAGGTAGCTGATGGCACATGTGAAGGCGCCACAGCATCTAATCCTTACAACTCTCCTCATGACCAGGCAGGATCTCTTCTGCTACCTGCGGAATCAAGATTGAGCAGGACAGAGACAACAGAAGACCAGGTCCCATAAAGGACATCCGGGGCAGGAGGAAGAGAACAGGGCAGAGTGAGGGTAGGTGGGGACAGGTGGAGCTGAGCCAGGTGTGTAAGTGCTGGTGTAGGTTAGGGTGTGAGGGAGGAGAGAGCCAGGACATAACAGAAAAGAAGCCCTGGGATTTTTTTAATATTATCTGAAAACAACAGAAGAGGAAGGTCAGTCATTAGCTCTTGTAACTTCTGGGTCCACCTAACTTTTGTGTCATACCTTCTAACTAAGCCATTCATCCTTTTAAAAGTTCAGGAAAACAGCTCGGCACCTATAGCTCAACTGGCTAAGGCGCCAGCCATGTACACCTAAGGTGGTGGGTTCGAATCCCCAGCCCGGACCTGCCAAACAACAATGACGGCTGCAACCAAAAAATAGCCAGGCGTTGTGGCAGGCGCCTGTGGTCCCAGCTACTTGGGAGGCGGAGGCAGGAGACTCGCTTGAGCCCAGGAGTTGGAGGTTGCTGTGAGCTGTAATGCCATGGCACTCTACCCAGGGGGACAGCTTGAGGCTCTGTCTCAAAAAAAAAAAAAGTTCAGGAAAACTAGCGTTTTCTAGAAATGAGTAACAGAAGATCAAGGTCAAACCTCATATAAGTTATTCTAAAATAAAAGAAAATTAACAGCATTCATAACATCCCTAGAGACAATGCTCCACAAAACTAAAGGCTTCAATCTTCAAGCAAACTGAAGACATTTTAAAATAAGATCAGGCATGAAAGAAAGCCAACAAAAATCAGAATTTAAAAACTCAGAAATGGGGCACCACTCTCCTTCCTTCTTTGGGACTCCACGCTGATTTCTCGCTGCTTTTGTCTCTCGCCCCCCTCATCTTTCCTTCCCTCACTCCCTCTCTCTCTTCCTAAAATATAAAATAAACTTATACTCTTATATCCTTAAAAAACTCAGAAATGAAAGAATAGAACATGGGACAAATTACAAATAAAAGAATCATTTCAGAAATGAAGACTAAAGTAAAAGAAACACAAGAACAAATAAACATAATAAATACTAAATTAGAAGAAGTAGATGGTGAAAAGTCTTAAAAAAAATACAACAGAAAAATAAAGAAAGAATTAAAGAGAAAGTGACAAATGATAAGATCCGTAAAGAAGAGCCAACATGTGAATGACGAGAACGCCAGAGGAAGCAAGCCACAAGGAAACAAAACACACACTATGAATTATAATTAAAGGAAATAGTCATGAAATCTTTTTTAAAAAATTGAAAATTACAAATTGAAATGACACACACGCATCCCTGAGAAGACCAACCTGAAACACGTAATGTGAAGACATATTTAGCAAAATAACTGGGCTAAAGAAGAGGAAATCCTTTAGATATTCAGGCAAAAAAGAAGGAAGGAACTCAGAAGGAAAAGATATCAAATATGAGCCAAGGACTTTATATCCAGAGAAAGAGAATTAACTGCTGTCAGCAAGCAAACACCTAGAGAAGGCTGTTTCCGCGGGCCCTCGCTGAGAGATTTCTACAGAACAACTTCAGACCAAAAATTACCAGAAGGACATCCACATAAGAATTGTTACAGTGGCTGTGAGCACACTGCTACTTGTAGAAGAGTAAAAGTACCTCTTGTAGAAAGAATTCAACTAATTGCTAAAAAACAAATGATGAAATTAGAATTCTGAAACCCCCAATGAATGAACATCCTAGGGCTCTAGACATGAACGGCTGCTAACATGCCCATCTCGCAAAGGAAGACCAGTTTCAAATCATGCGGACCACCTAGTCTTGGCACAGGGATTGAACCTAAATCTCAATAAACCTCTGGATTCATCTGAAGGAAGTGAAAAAGGTGGAACCACACCATGATGCAATCACCAAAATCCAAACTGTGAGAACTCTACAGATAAAATACAAGCAAAAGAAAGAGATGAACAAGGAGAGGGCTGGAGATCAAGAGAGACTTAAAGACAGATCAAGTACAATATTTTAAAAGTTAAGACTAAAGTACAGTCCAAGGAAATATACTTAGGTAAAAAATATTACAAAAGGCAAGGACATGATTACTCTAAAAGCACAGTGGTTACTTTTAGTGGGGCAGAAGCAAAATGCTTGAGAGTGGGGGCCCCGTGGAAGATTTAGTGGCTGGCAAAGTCTTAATTCTCCACACGAGTCAGGGCTGCAAGGGCATGTCTTACAGTAATTCATTAAAACTTGGCTCAGCACCTGGAGCTCAATGGTTAGGGCACCAGCCACATACACCAGGCCTGGTGGGTTCAAACCCTGCCCAGGCTTGCTAAACAACCATGACAACTACAACAAAAACAGCTGGGCATTGTGGCCAGCGCCTGTGGTCCCAGCTACTTGGGAGGCTGAGGCAAGAGAATCACTTAAGCCCAAGAGTTTG